TTCCGAATGGTTGCCAATGGCAACCTGGCAACCGTTACTGTCTAGCCCAGCCCTGTGTATGCTTTATCAGAAGAAGACTGGACTCACAGAGAGCACGGACAAAAGTTTGAAGATTCAAAACCAGCTTTTTAGTGCAGGAGGTAAAACATGATGACATAAAAAATGGATCGACTGCGATATAAAAAAAATTAAAATCATACTTTTCCCTTAACAAGGTTTCAGTCAGTACAATGTCTTCACGCTGTTAAATGACATGCAGCTTGCTTTTCTACATTGAACAAGACCAAACACACTAAATCCATCAACTGACCGCTTCAATGCTCAACAATTTAATAAAAAAACATAATTTGTAACCTAAGAACAAAAGCATGTTTTGACGCCTGTATCAGCATTCAGACTCATTTGCATGTGCCTTCCAACAATGTTGCTAATCAGCAACGTAACAATAACACTGTTGGCTGAGCAGACATTGCTATTATTTGGTTGTAAACATTTCGTAGTCATAGTGACAATAATGACTTTCATGGAAAGGTCATGGTAGAGAGTTTTGTTAGAATTTTGAATTTCAGAGGATTTCTTAGGTTGATTATGTGACATCTTTTGAACCAATGGATTTTTTGATATAATGGGTAAAACTTTTGTGCAATTGCTGTTTCTTTCACTGTCTCCATGTGTTGCCTCCGATTATGAATGCCTGATTTGGCAATGTTACTTTTGGGTTCACTTTAAGCTCTCAATACATCTGTATTTGGGCTGAGAAAATGTTGAACATTGTGATTATTCTTTACGAACTTTGTGTAATATTGCTTAAAATGAACAGTTTCAGTGGACCATGATCCAAGTCCCTCCCGTTGAGGGAGCGGATGTATTGTCTGGGTCCAGTGGAGCAGTCGATGTCAGGTTCAGGATTAAAAGCCATAATCAGACACGATATAATGAGGTTTCAAACCAGCAACCCACTGGGAAAAAGGCCTATAATCCCTACCAGTGAAAGGTTGAGTTGTCATCGAATCATGTGTTTGTTTTAGGCTCAGCAGGAAACGGCTGAGGGTTACAATGCTGTCAGTTCCCAAATGCAGTCAGTTGCCTTAAGGGAGAAGTTAACTGTCAAGGTTTGATATAAAATTCAGCTTCTAAAAAGACTCTTAAAGAATAGCTGTTATTTGGTTAAGCCCTTTTGTCTTGAGAAACAATAAATCAAAGAATCCAAAGGTGTGTTTTTTGTAGTTTGCCTAGATAAATAAAACTGATTCATCAGTCAGGTCATGGACATTATAAATAAAGAGAAGTGCAGAGAGTCAGACAGATAAAGATAACGAGTGAGGTAGATATATTTTTCTCGTCTGCGTAGAAAGAAGGTACAATTTACAAGTTCATTTGAAGATGGGAGTTTTTCTTGGTTTAGAAAAACAAACAAAATTAAAACCAGACATCTGCTTGTGTTAGCACGGATACATCCTGATCAGTCTTGAAAGGATTTCAAATGCAATCTTTCAGTTCTCCAAGCATTCACCCTTCTGCCATCTGAAAGTTGTGCTCGTCTCACAAATCCACAGCTTGCTTGCACATTTGAAGGAAATACTGTAATGCCTTCACTCGAGGCCTACTATACAGTATGTGTGAAAATACACTTGTAGTCCTCTCCAGGCAGGAGCACTACAAGTGTTTATGTTGAGTCTGCTGAACATCCCAGAATCAGGTTATGAAGGCAAGGAGACCAATTTGTTGAACAATTTGCTGTTCATCCTCCGACAGCAGCAGGTGCTCAATGTGTCTCTGATGATGACACAGATGCATTTGTATTCAGCTCAGCTGTCAGTCCACATAACTAACATAAAGATGCTAAGCTTATGGAAGCTCATTAGTCTGAACGTAATATGCCTCCCTTACACCAGATGCTTGACAGATCACATCAAAGATACAGTGCTGACTGCATTCAATCTCTGGGTTTTATTGTTATCCTGCCAAATCTTAACAGAATGTGTTGAGCTGATGTACGAGACTGAGGCAATACAATGGTATTTCTTTATTATTTGTGTCAGAGGCCTTCGTGAGGTCAAAAGGTTCACATGTACTTGGCTGATTTATTATAACCATCAAGGTATACGCAAAGAGAGAGTTGGCAAGCCAGAAATACAATATGGATCCATTTTTACCATTTTTCAAGCATTCTAACATAGACAAGAAAAAGCAGACATGAATTAAAGTTACAAGTGCCAAATATTGTACTATATATGTACAGTTGAGGCCACAATTATTAGCCCCCAAGGAGTTATGGAACATTTTCCTAAAATTCTTCCCAATGTTTCCAGCATTGATACAACTTGATATAATCAAACATTCACCAGTGCTATTTAGTAGCTTTTGGTACATAAAATACGTTCTTAGGCTTGCTTTATATCAAATATAGTGAAACATGGGTTGGTCAAAAAATATTAGCCCCATGTGAATGTTTGCTTTCAAAACACACCAAATCAATCAATCAGCTTTCAAGCCACACCTAATCAACCAATCAGCTTAAAAGGACTCCAAGAAACAGGCACTTGAATACCTTATTGAGAGGGACTATACTACTACTCCAACTCACCATGCCAAAGTCAAATGAAATCAGTCTTGAGCTCAGAAAGAAGATAGTGGAGACTCATGATAAGGGGGAAGGCTATACTGCTATTTCCAAGCGCTTCACAGTGTCTAGAACTGCTGTACGTTGCATCATTGCGAAGTACAAGGAGACAAATTCTGTAAGAAACAAACCGAGGCGTTGTCGAAAGCGCAAGATTTCAAGAACTCTGGAGAGGAAAATAGTCAGAGATGTCAGCAAGAATCCCTGGACATCTGCTTGTTGCTGACCTGGCCTCTTCTGGAGTTACAAGGAACACAGTTGTGAGGGCTCTTCATCGTGGTGGGCTTCAGGGCCATCGTCCCAGAAGAACCCCTTTACTCAAAGCGCGGCACATCAGAGCCAGACTGAGGTTTGCCCGTGAACATTTGAAAGGTCAAGATGAGTTTTGGAAGTCTGTGCTTTGGTCTGATGAGACTAAACTGGAACTGTTTGGGCACATGGATGTTGCTTATATTTGGCGAAGAAAGGGAGAGGCCTTCAACCCTAATAACCAGTGTTGGGACTAACGCGTTACAAAGTACAAAGTAACGCGTTACTGTAACGCAACTACTTTTTGCGGTAACTAATAGCGTTACTAGTTACCTATTCCGATTAAGCAACGCCGTTATAGTTACTGTGATTTAAATGGGTGCGTTACTGCGTTACATTATGTGATGGAACTGAACCGAATCTCCCTGCGGATGTAACTTCGCAGTAACGCACCCATTTAAATCACAGTAACTATAACGGCGTTGCTTAATNATACCGGTAAACCAGCATCGTTTGCTGTGAAAGCATATAACTCAGTCCACACAGAATTAAATCCTGTGTTCCTCCGGTACTTTTCTTTGATTTATCCATAGTTCGCTCATCGAGCCGGGGGTCAGGTTATTCGCCCCCAAGAAAAGGCGCTCACAAGGGACCGTAGCAGGATGTGATGCATATTTTAGTTGACCTAATTAAAACCGTTTTGTTTTTATTTATGTGTCACAGAATCACCTCAAAATACAAGATGCGAAACATTTTCAACCATGCAACGAATATATAAATAGTCCTACAAATACTTTTATTTTATTTCCTTCTTATTTTTGTCTAAGCTCAAGGGAGCCAGAGCAGAGGGCTTAAAGGGCCGCATGCGGCCCGTGGGCCGCGGGTTGCCAACCCCTGACCTAAGCGAAGACTAAGAACAGATTTTTTCATATTATTCCTCAAAATGTCAACATAATTTTAATTTTTCATGATGCCTTGCACCCGAACAAGGCTCCCTGTGCCTGAGGCTGCAAAACAGCCCCACAGCATGATGTGTTC